AATCAGTGGATGAGAAACAATCATGCTATGATATTAAAAATTATGATGATTCATTAGAAGGTGATGACGTGTACATAGTTGATGCAGAAGATGATATAGAAACAGATGAAGTAGTTGATCCTCATAAAACTGATGTAGGTAAAACAGAGGTAGAGGTTGGGAAAACAGATGTTGATTTAACTGGGGATAAACCAGTGGTTGGTGTGGATTTTGATGATGGTTTTGAAGCAGACTTACTTGAGATGCAGGCTGATGAAATTGATGTGCAATTTGCTGAATCAGCGCAGACTACTAAACTTGATGTGCAGCATGGTGAATCAGAGGTGCGGTTGGTGAAACTGATGTGGAACATGGTGAATGTGGACTAGAAACATTTGCAGCAAATGTTGTGATTTTGTAAAGTGACCTGGAATTTCGAATGGAATAGTCACATATGTTGTTCTGGACTATTAAAGTTGAATTCCTTGCATTATACTATATTTTCATTAGGCTTTCAAATTTTATTCATCGAGTATCAGGTGCACGAAATTACGAACTATGTAAAAGCTTTGGTACTTTTTAATCATTTCTTACCAAAGGTTTGGTACTGTTCATGAAACTATTGCCAAAGGTTTGATACTGTCACTGCAATTATTACAAAAGGTTTGGTATTCATGCTGTGATTTATAGCAAAGGTTTGGTACATTTGCTGCACCATCTTCAAAACGCTTGGAGTATGATATGATATTTAATTTTTCATTAAACAAATGGTAGAAATAGAGATGTGAAAGTCAGTACCAACAATAATACAGAAATGAACACTTCATTTCAAGGAAAAAGATACAACACAACCACAATTTACATCCACATTTCACAACATATAACACAAGACCCCCAACACCTAAATACTAAATCTAAATTTCTGAAGTTAAAAAGCTCATCACACAAACTCGTCCTATATGCATAGGAACAATCCCATTTTACAAATGCTCCACACACAAAGTCGAACAGCTAAGTTTTCTACACATTTGGTCTTGTTGCTTGGAGGATACTAATTTCATCTTCCATTTTCCTCCTAACCCATAATAGAACTGAAATCAGCTTCTTAGATCTCTCACACATGGGGTTACACCACACAAAGAGGTACATCCACCTAGATCTTGGCTTCGAGGACAAGTGAAAGATCTTCTTCCTGAGTTCAGGTTCGTTCATAAGGTCTTTATCTGCGCCGATAAACCACATCTAAATACATTCATCTCCATCTATGTGCTGATTTTCCTAACTAACTGTAACGCCCCAAATTTTATTGATTTAAATTTTGAAGTGTTACCGATATTATTTCATAATCATATATAAAACAGAAACACTTAATTGAAGATTTAAACTTGAATAAATTTAAGTATTC